GAAAAACAATCAAAGAATTCTTTTTGCAGCCATACTTGTTTCTTTTGAGATTTCTTATTTTTCTTCTTCATTGGAATTGTGCTGGACTGGGATTTTATCATCTCACTTTTCAAAATTTTCCAAGATTCTTTGATTGTTTTTCCCTTGAGAATTCTCATCCATGGAATCCTTTTGAAACTCTCCTTAAGTTTATTGAAGTCAGCTATTTTGAAGTCCAAGACTTTAGTTTGACTTTGTTCTATTGCTTGGGTTTGCATAGTGTTGAATTCCAATATTTCATGGTCACTCTCTGCCAAGGTTCCTGTAACTTCAACACCTTCTATCATTTCATGTCTGTTAATGAGGATTAAGTCCAGTATGACTGACCCTCTAGTTTCCTTCTCTGTGTTTTGGAAAACAAAGTTCTGTGCTAGGGTTGTCATGAATCTATTTAATCTTCCACTAGAGTTTGTCTCCCAATTCATGTCAGGATAGTTAAAGTCCCCCATTATTATTGTGGTATGCTTCCTGCACACCTTGGTTAACTGATAGCAAAAATTTCATCTATTTCCTCTGTTTGGTTGGGTGGCCTGTAGTATACACCTATGGCAATGTCGTTCTTTTTTACTTTTATATTGAAATGTATTCAAGATAGTTTTCATCATTGTTCTGCTGTATTTCTGTAGAGATATAGGTCTGTTTCTTTTAAACAATTTAACTCCCTCTAACTGTATATTCTATTCATGGGTTTCATCCTGATTTGATCTGATCCACTTGCAGTCCAAGGGACTTTCAAGAGTCTTCTCCAACACCACAATTCAACAGCATCAATTCTTCGGCACTCAGCCTTCTTTATGGTTAGGATCATTTAATACTCTACATATTTATTGAGAAGGACCTGGAAGCCTTTCTTTCCTAAACAAGGTGGATACTAGGGAACGGCATGCATCCAAAGAGCCTTTTTTTTTTACACCCAGCGTATTTTGGAAGGCAGGCCTAACCTTAAAGCTCAGTGACATAAAGCAGCCAAAGAACTGATAAGACTAGCTGGCCCAGGTAGTGATTATCTTGACTACTAAAGTGACCTGCTCCCTGCCCTGATGATCTCATTATAATTATTGTCCTGGGAAGTGTATCCTCATGGACACTTCTCACCAAACTCATCAGGAAACCCTTCCCAAGGATCTGGAGATCCTTGTCTAGAACTAGCTACTGGGAAATTTGCCTGGGAGGGAGAATAAGGACCACAAACAGCAGGAAGACTAGAGCATTTTCCTTGCATCTCAAACAAAGATGGTAAGCTCTTTTAGACAACTGCTTTTGGGAAGGATTCTATGGGATTCTGGGTGCCTTCCCCAATGCTTTTACATAAACTAACATTGCCTTAGCTACCTTATCAGGTAGACTCAGCCACCCAAACTTGGTCCACTCTATTTCTTTTTTTTTATTCCTGATTAGTAAATACAAATGAAATAATTGATTGAAAGACTGTTATTTAAGAGCATAGCTGAAGTGGGCAATTAATTGAAGATGAATCAATTTGAGTTGATTTTGAGTGCAGTTGTAAATTAGAGGAACAGATTAGCTGGGGTTGATTTGAATTATCATCATGATTACACCAACCAAGTATTTCAGACTGTTAATATGATCACATATGCTTATATTTTTAGCTACGGTATATAATCTGGTGATAAAGCTCTATAGGTAGGTTTTGTTGTATTACAATATTCCAAGACTGCAGCAATAGTAAATGGAGTATGATGAGAGGGAGTGGGAAAACATTCTCCATGTTCATAATTATAGTACATATCTGTGTTACATATCTGCTATTAATTCCAGAATATAAATTAGTTATCAGGGGCATTATGATTTCATTCAAAAAACTAACATGAGAGGAAGAATTAAAGTCAGTCCTCCCAGTACTACTTCCCATATCTCAATCCTTTTTGTCATCCATTGGCACATCCCCGCTTTGCTCTAAAACAAAAACAGTAGAGAATCAAGAGACAGGTTTCTTGGCATTCTACCTGCCTCACGTTTAAGGAATGCAATAAACATGTGATAGTTCATAATATTTAGGAACTTTGTATGCCTTAATTTGTGAATGGGAAGAAAGTAGATCTGGATCTTCTGATAGAAATCTGGGTTAGATTGCTGAAGTGTCAAACATTTAATATTTTAACAGTAGCAGTTACAAAATTATTAATCTACTCAAATAATATAGCTGGTATGAAAACATGTATGCTAACTAGGACAGGATTTTAGTATGGAAGATTTCTTATCCCACTTCACCACTGGTATTCTAACCCAATTTCTGTACTCATTGTTTATCCTTTACAACAGGCTCAGATTCAGTTTCTCAAAATTCTAGGGGGAGGGGAATGAGCTGAAGTCTGCCTATCACGGCCTTACTACTTCTTTGATTATATTTGATGTGCCTAACAATCATAATTAGATAGTCTGAACTGCCAATGCTTAGTTCATTTAGAATAAAATGGGGAAATTTATGGCAGTCTAGATGTAGGACTATAATTCCCATATTTAAAGTTTTATTTTCAATATTCAATATATAAGATGAATAAGTTGCAATTAAATATGTATAACACACAGTTGCTGCTAATCAATAAGAAATTAAGTTTTGGGATTAGAGTCTAGCTTGAAAAAAATAGCCCTAGAGCCCAAGAATCCTTCTTGAATCCCAGCTGTTTCTGAATCTCTAGATGGTAATGGTGGCAGTTACGCATTTCTAGAATTTGTCCCCTATAGCAGTTATGGCCATTTTGAACCAGTTAGATTAGTCCATATTTACTCAAGCTTTGGTTCTATCACAATTAGACTACTTCAGTGTAGCCTATATGGAACTAACTTTAAAGAGTATCCAGATACTTCAACTGCAGCAGTTAAGATGTTAATTAGTATGCAATAACATCATGTATGCTTTAAAATATAAAACAGATACTATGGAACACACAGGCATATAGGCTCATCTCTTTAAAGCATCTTTATCTTTTTTTGAAGCTTCACTACCAGCCTGAAAAATTATATAGCTGCCAGACTTACGTATCTGTTCATTTCAAAGCATACAGAGCCCTAGAATTAATTTAGGCCTATCGTGAAAGACCTGTAGTTGCCAGTTGTTTTTCAGCACAGTTAAATTGGTTTTATCTCTAAAAATGTTAAGAGCAAGACTCTCTAAAGGAGTGTCTTTTTCAGTATGAAAGTGAGCAGGCATTGAGATTCGCAAGCAAGGCTACTGTTTTTAATGCCCCATTTGTTGAGCACAAAACAAAATATCTTTATTTGTATCAATCCCAGTTTCTTTTAATTGTTTTTAACTCCCATTCTTTTAGTCTACAAGAAAAGAATCAAGCTCTTTCTCTTCAACCAGGCCTTTTGAGTTCACATAATAATAATTTCAAGTTTTTTAAATTGGATTTCAATTGTTTGTACTTTACATGTTGACTTTTTAGCCATCTACAGTGTACTATGGAAGAAAAACAATTAACAAATTGAAACAATAATTAATGGATAAGATTTAAATCCACATATTCCATGTTTTGAAACCCAATATAATTTATTTTCTCTTTATTCTCTTTTTTATACAATTACTGTATATTGCAACCAACAGTATATTATTGTTTCTTAGGACAATAGCCATGCAAATCAAGAGTATATACAAATACTTTTTGGTACAAATCAAATTTTCTTGTGTGATATTTTTCAGAGGGGCTTCTGAACAATGCCAGGGATACAAGTGTCATGGATACTCTACCACTGAATGGTAACCACGGCAATAGCTACAGCATTGCTAGCAGTGAGTACTTGAGCAACTGTGTGCAAATAATTGACCATAGCTATAACCACAGTGAGACTGCCTTAGAGAAAAAGATTCTGAAAGAACTCACTTCCAATTATATACCTTCCTACCTGAACAAACATGAATGTTCTAATGAACAAAGTAGGAATCTGATGAACAAATTTGTCAATAATCTTGGCAGTGGAAGTGACGATGCCATTGTTCTCGATGACGTCACCTTGTTTAACCAGGAGGAGAACCTGGGCTTAGAACTCATTCATGAGGAATCAGATGCCCCACTGTTACCCCCAAGGGCATATTCTGCAGAGAACCACCAGCCTCACCATTATAGCAAAAGACGGATTCCACAAGACAACAGTGAAAGTTTTTTTCCCTTGCTAACCAATGAGCACACAGAAGATCTCCAGTCACCGAATAGGGATTCTCTTTACACTAGTATGCCTGCTCTGGCCAGCATGTCAGGCACAGAAAGTGTCAACACCAGCACTCAGACCGATCCCCCATCAACTAAAGGTGGCGATGGCGATGATGTGTACTACAAGAGTATGCCAAACCTGGGCTCCAGGAACCATATCCAACAGCTACACACTTACTATCAGTTGGGGCGGGGCAGTAGTGATGGATTTATAGTTCCACCAAACAAGGATGGGACCCTGACAGAAGAAACCTTGAAAGGACCAGCTCACTTGGTCACTAGTCTATAGAACACTAAGTAAACATTTTAATAAAACAAATGCTCCCTGTACAACATCTGGATTATTGTCTGGATTTAAATCAAAGCAGTGGTAATATTGTGTGTTCTCCTACTCCATATTGTTCTAAACAACCAACAGTTCTCATAACTTTTTAATGGAATTGATAGGCCCATGAAGGAAAAAAGGCTAACTGCCTGTTGTTCCCCCTCACTCAACACATACACTGGCGTCACGTCAGAGAGACCCTATGCTAATGAATGAGATACAAAAGGAAGTGGTCCATTGTGTGGCCTTCTCACATTATACTGTATTTGTTTAAGCATCTTTGGGTGCTGTCTTAGTACCAAGGACCTGACTTACAAAAGGCCAAACATGCATTTGAAACTACTAGCAATGATGCGTCTAGATTGGAGTGCTGCACAAAACAGAAGCAAAAATAGCAAAACTGTTTATTCTGAATCTGTATCACATAATAGTTTGGGGTTTTGGTTTTTGGTTTTTGGTTTTTTTTTGTGTATGTGTGTCTCTCTTTCTCTCTCTCACCACTTAATTTAGCCAAAGCTCACTGAACTGTGGAGCAAACAACATCTAATGAAATAGAAAGAAAGTTGGTAATTGTATGCTACATGGTATATTTTTATGTTTTTCTGTATTAACTGATGATAATTCTAATGACAGAAAAAATGGAACAGTTCCTATGTAATGTACAGATACTAGCATTGCACATATAGTCTACTCTTTGTTCCGCCAAAACTTGCGTCCCTGTTAATGTGGTGGAAAAAAAAAACTTTTTCTGTTGTGCTGGTCTTGCAAGTTTGTCTACCAGTAGAAACAATTCTTTTCATGTATTCTTTATTTGGCCTTTCCCCACCCCTCTATCTCTCTCATTTTAAAAAAAATCATTGAGTAAACAAAGTAATGATTCTTTAATTTTGGGTTATGTGATATCACATTCTGTGTTTGTGTGTGTGTTTGTGTGTCAGTATGCAATAGACATAAATATGCATATAGACACAGATAAACATCCACACAATATACACGGTTTCTTCTATCTACGGATTTGCCAACAGTTTCTTTTTTTCAGATTAGAAACTTGACCCACGTGTGTTTCCAGGGCACAATTGATGAGATGCAGCAGCCTTTGTGGTCATCAGTCCCTTCACCAAGGCATTATGTCCCTTCCAGTAGCTGGGATTTCATAATGGGACTTATGCAGATGAACATAATGCCTTTACAGGAGTCAAAATCTAACCTCAGGCTAGGAACTTTCACTGCGATGGTTTGAAAAACTGCTTCATAGCAAAGATATTTTTAAAAGCCTATTTTGAAGTGGTAAAAAAATATATACAAACCCTTCCATTATTTTTCCTAACAGGAAATGTATTTATTTGACAAGATTTAAAGTAATGTAGACCTTCCCAGGAGGTAAATTAGCAGCACAGATTTTACTCTTTTTTTTTAATTTATGATGCATTTTGTATGGTCACCCAGTTGAATGACCTCATTACTAATATTTGTTGTAACAGTGAAATTTGTTTGCCAACCAATAAACAACTGATTAAGATTTAGAAGGCACTGTATATATGTCCTGTACAATCAGTCTCTTCTGATTTATCTCCCTTTCTATCTTTAGCAAAGAATATTAGTTCTTTTAGTGCTGAAGGTAGCTATACAAATGAAAGGATTACTCAGCACAGACTGATGTAGAGAAGGAAATAAACCAGGTATCTAAACTTGTGGGGCAGGCATAAAAAGGAAGGGCCTGGGGTTTAGCTGGGGACATGCTGACTTTAGCTTTAGCTAAAAAGAGGAGCTATTTTTTTTACATACATTTTTCTACCATATTTATACTGTATGTAGCATTTACTGTTTGATGGATCTTTGTAGATCATACCAGCCCATAACATAGTGGCATGAAACAATCCCTGTGCACCTTTTATGTAGCGGTTTTGAAGAGTTAATTCCAACAGATAACAGAAGGCCCTTAACTCCACTACTGATAATATGTGAGTACTGTAGGGCACTCCTGGGGTAATCTGTGAATGCAGAACTCATGTTTGCAGTTGTGAATAACAGCAATAGCCCTTATGATACTCACAGGTGACAAAACTGGGAATTAACTCAGTCTTCCTGTTACAGCTACCCAGAATACTAGAACAGGATGTAGTACAGGTAGTCCTCGACTTACAACAGTTCATTTAGTGACCAAAGTTACAACGGCACTGAAAAAAGAGAATTATGATCATTGTTCACACTTATGATTGCAGCATCCCTCCCCCAAGCCCCCCGTTTACATGCTCAAAATCAGGACACATGGCAACTGACTCATATTTATGACAATTGCAGTGTCCCACCGTCATGTGATCACCATTTGCAACCTTCTTACAAGCAAAGTCAATAGGGAAACCAGATTCACTTTACAACTGTGACACTAATTTAACAACTGCAGTGATTCACTTAACTGTGGCAAGAAAGAAAGGTCATTAAACAGTGTAACTTAACAAACGTCAACTTAACAAACGTCATCTTAACAGATGACTTAACAAACATCTCGCATAGCAACAGAAATTTTAGGCTTGATTTTGGTCATAAGTCGAGGACTGCCTGTATACAGAGCAAGGGACTTCTCAATCAGCTTTGGGATTTGCTTACTTCTCTTCTCCCTATCATAATCCCAAGAAAAATCCTAATTGTTACATTATTTCCATTTTCAGAAGCATTTGGATGAATTCCTTGAAACAGAAGTAGCAGCTGCTTCAAGGATGTTCCAGCTCTTACTTGGTTTAAGCTACTGTATTATGAAGGGCACATTACTTGCATTAATGGCATTCACGTACAGTAATGGCTAATTTGATTCTGTTTTGTGAAACAGAAATGCAAACACATTTGAAGTCTCTCCTAGATCTTTTGTTCTTGTTTTACTACTTGGTCCTCGTTAATTCTCTGGAAAGGCAATATTACTCTCAGTTGCTTTAACTGGCTTTAACCATGGAAAAAGCCTTCTTAAATTCAGGAGGAGATCAAATAGCTGTGCTGAATTGTATCCTTTGAAGAGATGTAGATAAAATCCCTTTGCTATTCCATACATCCCCAACCTAAGTGCTCTTTTGTTGATACTTGCTTGCAGGATTTTGCAAAATAAAATTAAAATCCACCAATTCTATCTGAAGTTGATTTATTGAGACACATACATTAATCATTTTTAAGTGACTTGATTAGGAAAAGATTAGAATAAATAAAGAAAATAGAAGAGGACATCTCAGGAAATGAGATATGGCCAACATAATTTATTACTTTTGTGAGTGTTGTGCACATTCTTCCAGCTTTTAGGAACATCTCAGGTAAATTTTCCTTGAATTTACACAGAAGCAGACCAATATTTTTCATACCCCTAACTTTTAGCCCGGTGCAGGTGACAATCAAGACTGAATTAATGTATGAAGGGAAATGTCATTTCATCCACTCTTCCCATTTCCCAATCAAGACACAACACACAGAAATGTTCATCAATGATATCTGTCCTTTGCAAAATACAGTTCTTTTATTATTGTATTTTTCTTACCTCGGTGTACTAAAATCAACAGCATGGACTTCACCTGTTGTCATCTCTCTCTTAAGTGTGTGTTCTCCACCCACACAAATGTGCAAATGTCAGCATCCAATCATTCAGTTCTATGTAGATGCAATGCATTGCTAAGATTCAGCTGACTACCCATCAACTGTAAACCTGACCAAAGAAGGCGTTCTGCTCCCTTGCCATATGTGCAGGGGAAGATAAATAAAAGAAATATTAAGGCAGCTGGTGAAAGAGCAACTATTGCAGCTTCTGTGACAAAGGTGGTCTCTTGGTGAGAGATAAGTCCAATAAAGAAAGCTACCATGAAAGAACTACAAGTATCAATGAGTATATGGCTTAGCTCTGAGGGGCAAACAGGAACACACAACATGTTAGAGACGCACAGGCTACTAAACTCTAGGTGGTGGGAGAGCCATTTCATTGACTCTGCAAGACTTAAATGCTGAACATAAAGCTCACAACTGAAGACTAAATCTTATTCTCCTCCCTCCATGATTTGTCAGCTTATTTGGCCACACCTCATGATGTGTCTTCCTCCATAGACCCCACATTTCAAACATTGACTCAAAACTTGGTTACTGTATATTAGATAGCTGAATACCAGAAGCATAAATTAGGGACAGAGTCTTCTCAAAATACCAGTTGGGCCCCAAAAACCAAGAAAGACACACTGAAGTTCTTCTAAGCAATTTTGTTTATTGTTTCTTGCCCATAGATGAAATCTTTCCAAACTAAAGCAAACTACTTACACCATTAAATATATTCTCTGAGGTCTCCTATGGAAGAACTGTTCTGGCTCTCTTTCTCCCACTCAAATGATCTAAACTTCACTGTTTTTTGCTGTCTGGAATGTACCTTCTTCCGGGAATCCAGACTACATTCATCACAACACCTTCTTAATGTAATTATTCAACTAGTAAGTGGTCTTTGTCAAGAAAAATGTTGCAATGTATGACAACTCTATAGGATTGCTGTTGTTTGGGATTCCACTGAGGACAGGAAATTAAGAACTCGGGTGGCAGTTTTCCTTTCTGTTTTTAAGCCTAGACCTTGCTGAACTACACTCCAGCAAACCTAGACAACATTGCCAGTAATTAGAGATGCCACAAATTAGGGATGAAGGAATGAAGAGTGACACATTATCTATTCCTACCTACATCAAAAACCTTGTCATCTCATTGTGATGTCATTTCACATATAAAACATTCTTGACCAGCTATTGTTGACAAATCACAGGGATACCCATTCCCATTTTACAGCAATCTGAAGAAATTACTGTTTTTAATATCTGAACAAGCATTTTGCTGCCAGAAGTCAAAAAATAGGAAATTATTTTTAAAAATTTGGACCGCATATATTTGTTTATGTTTTATTTCTTTTTTATTTTCTATTACATAACATTATTAAATAAACCATATAATGACTTCAACATCACATTGATAGGAATTGACAGAGAATAGCTATCCTTCTAATATTGCCCTTTTAAAATACTTTTAATTGCAGTCATAAAACTATGCAATATCTAACTATATACAGTAGTCACTCTGTTAATTTCCAATATAATGAAGAGAATATGATCATCTACAAAAATTGTGAATCCTCAAAAAGAAAACAAATTTTCTTTCAAAGGGAGCCACCAAAGCACAAGACCAAACCTTATTAACTAATGTTGTGTTTTGACATTAGTTTCCTAACTAATTGTTAATTCCTAACAATTATATTTATCTACACCATTTTCCCCCCAAAAGGCTTATATACACCCATGAGACTTTTCATTGAACTAATTCCCTGCATTACTAAGGGGGAGCAGGGGAAGTGATAGGAAGCAAAACTGACATGCAGTGTATCATTGGCAAGTAATGTCATCTCTTTCCCACTGTTTCTCCATATCTTCAAACCTGAGTACTCTTCAGTTTGCCACCTTTCTGATTCCTTCAGCTTCTTTTCTATGGACAGAAGTTGATATGAAAAATGTAAGAACTGACAGCAAACATTTATTTACCTAGGAAAAGCCTTCATATGAATGACTTGGATGGTTAAAGTGAACCAGTGGTGGGTTCCGGATCCCTTCGCAACTGGTATGCTGTGACGGGGCCGGACATCCACCTTGGGCATGTGGGCTGTGTGCGTGTGCAGACACAACCTCCCTGCAATGCCCCAGCTGCTCGGTGAGGTCACGCAGGGGCCGTACGCTTTACACGCATGCGCAATTGGCCTGTTTCTCTCAAAAAGAGGTAAGTAACGCAGGCAGGTGGGTGGGCCCACCAAAACACCATTCCGGTACAGTGGCCACTGCTCTCAGCGGCCACCGGTATGCCCATACTGGGCTGTACCACCCAGAACCCATCACTGAAATGAACCCAAACATTTCCTACCATGAATAGGAATCATAAATTAAATTTGCTGTCTGGTAGATGCATGAACACTTCCCATTCTAATATGAGCATTCCATTCCTCTTGAATCATAACTGTTGTTTTCTTTCTTTTACCTCCCTCACACTTGCCAGATACAATAATTATTTTAGTTCATTATCCACTCATATCTTCAGAAGAACATAAGCTGTATCCTTATGTCATTTTGGAATATGTGCATGAGTGTGTGCAAATTTAAATATTCCACATATAGTATCTTGGAAACTTCCCTGGTACTGAAGAATTACATATATATATAATTCTTCAGTACCAGGGAATTTTTTTTGCCCGCCCCCCCAGCCCCCAGCAGCACTCTATAAGCCTCCATAAGGCTATGCATGAAATTTTTCTGACAAAAAATGGACCCGTTTTGGTGCAAAACAGGCCATTTTTTGCTCATTTTTGCCCCCCCCCCAGGAGCACTCTGCAAGCCCCCCCAAGGCTATTCATGCCTTTCTTTTTTTTTTTTTCAAAAAAAGGGCCCGTTTTTGG